ATTCCCTTTTGCTTTTCATTTTTATTTTTAGAATTAAAACGGATAATTAAATAAATGATAAATTATTAATGTAAATAATAAATTAATGTATGTAAATTCGGTGTCTCCTACTTGATCGGAGCGTACGCAAATAAAAAGGCGACCCACCCTTTAAGGAAATGTTCCTCTTTTTGCAATCACAACTCGAAAATTATAAATCAGAGAAGTAACTAGGCAGGATTCTGATACTTAATTTGGAATGAACTTTGCAAGTCATTCCGTAGCGTTTATTTTTTTTCATATCTTGAATCTCTTACTATCATTAAATAAGGACGAAATTGCAGGTTTAAATGTATAGTTCTCACAATGTAATAAACGACAGTACTTGCAACCTGTGCAGTCGCACGAAGAGGCATGGTTAGGGACAGAAAAAGTTTGGATTTAGAAGTACGATTGACATTACCAAATGGCAAAGTTAAAGGCAGATAGATTTTTTTTCTCTGTTATTTACACTAATAAGCGGGAGGGCAAGAACGCCTTTCTAATTGTTATTTGAAATTAAATTTTACAATTTACTTTACTTTTGCTTTTAATTTACTTTCTACAGCATTCAGTACGTGAAACCGTCAATAATAATATAATAATGATAATAAAAATGGTATCACACAACTAAAAGTATATACTACTTCGTAAATTTCGATAAATTAATTACTGAAAATATTAAGCATATCAATGGCAGCGTTGGACCTAATAGTTTTAAGTTGCATTTCAACATTTGAAAGAACGCGAATTACATTGCTATTTTCACCACACAAACGAATGGAATATTTCAGAAAAGAATTCTCCCCCGTTATTACAATATTTCAATAATTTTCGCAAATTAAAAAATTTATTTAATACGTTTTAATAATAAATGAAGCGATTTTCACTCATATAATCCCTTTGTACATTACTATCTTTCATTTCAGAACCACTGCATAACTTTTCTAAGACATAAATAGCTTCCGTTAATATATGTTCCCATACATTATATTTATTTTTTTATATTTTTGTCTTTAATAAATTAATGATAGATAGAAAAAAAATTGATACTGCTTAATTTATAAGCAGCGTAAAAACTGGAAATCTGAGGTCATTAATTTCCGAGACATTAATAGTTTTTCAAGATGCAAATAAAGCAGATAACAATAATCATAAATATTAATGCTCCTAAAATATATCCGCATTTCCTCCTAACTGATTTTTGCTTTTTGATCCACCACAAACCTATTTTCATTAAATGAAGTTTTGCGCATTTCTCTGCAAAGTACGCAAAACTTGTTTCATACAACTTTATTTTAACTAATTATGAAGAAACGTTATACTTGTTTAGGAAAGTATAAAACAAGTATTTATGTGTACTACTTTTAAAATCCATGTGACAGAGTGTGAGTTCTCATCTTGAAATATACGTTGTGTCGATGAGCTTAACTACAAATTATTAAACATTTCTGGCAAAATGCCAAAAATTAAAAACAAAATTTTTTAAACACGTCCTGCGCTGTATCTGCAGGATCTATCAATCAATCAATCGACTCGACAATCGAAAATCAATCGACTTGAATGGAGCTCACCAACATGTAAAAAGCGTTTCTATTAATATGCAAGATATGAGAAAGAAGTTTGAAGACATTATGAAAGAAGCAGAGTTTTGAATATACAATTCTTGTATATTCACAAAAATACAAATATACAAATTTTTGTGTATAAAATAAATGGGACATAGAAACTAAATTTGAAAAATAGAAGAAAATAAAAACAAGAAAATATTGATGAGTTATGTGAGGATAACAGGCTTGAAAATTCCGAAATGTCTTTTAAAGTAACAGTTTTTTATGCTGCTCTCGACATTTTAAATACTCAGTTAAAATACAGAATGACTGGAATAACAAAAATCGCAATGATGTTTTCATTTTTGGAACTTAAATTTCCGTATTTGTCATTGTTAACAAATACGGAAATTATTAATAATGTTTCAAAAATACAGAAAAAATATAAATAAGACTTTGCTAATGTACTGGAAGTACAACTTTTATTATTTATAAATACTTTCAGAACAGATATCCAAAATTTGAAATCCGTTAAGGATTTAGCTAAATTAGCAATGGTAAAATACTATGACATGACAAGCAGTTAATCGGGAGTGCAATTAACTTATATTGTATTTATCATTCATTATCTGTAACCAAAGCCACGAGCGAGAGGTCATTTTCAATAATAAAAACATATTTAAGAAACACACTATGATACAAGATCGGTTGTTAAACCTATCACTATTGAGCGTTGAAGTTGACTTGACATGGCTGTGAAAATGGACGTCCAGGTATTGATAAATAATTTTGCGGAAATGAAGGTTAGGAGACGCAAATTTTAATAAAAAAGATTTTTGTCTTTATGATGAATTTCGGTCACCAGTGTTATAATTACACTTATTGAGGGGGGGGGAATTAGAGAAGAACAGCAGTACGGGCTGAGGGAAAATTAAAAAGAAACAGGAAAAATCTTTAGCATTCATGTTTTTTTTATAAAAATGATGTATTCAAGTAGTTTAGTGTACCAAAAGGATTTTTAAAAGGACAGCAAAAATATTACATATTTTCTACTAAAATTGTATATTCAAATAGTTTTCTTTATGAAGTTTATGATAAATATGTTTTATATTTAACAAATGTATCATTTACATCATAAAAGTTCTTATTTATTACTTGTATATTATTGCATAAATTATGTTCGTAAGTTGAGTAAATCACAGAGTACTATCTATTGATGTAATATTTTTTCTGTACGTTTATCAATTATCTTGTCTGTCAATATCAATTATCTATCACTCACACGCACGCACACAAAAAGTCTTAAATTACAGAATTAAAATCATCTGACGTCAAATACCCAGACTAAAGCAAATTTGCATTTCACCAGTTAGCAAAGGGGAAATATTTTCCTTTTTATTCTTTCTTCATATTACATAACTTTCAAATGGTTCCCTGAGAACGTGCTTTTATTTTTTAACAATTAATCCAGATGTGATAAAAATCATGAAAACATTGGCTCCAGGAATCCTTGATTTTTTTTTTTTTTTTTTTTTTTACTTTTCACGTTTTTTTTTTCTTTAGTTTAATTTTTATTTTTAAGCACATTAAATTTATTGGTTTAGGGACCCAGGAAATTATTTTGCATACGGGACCAAGAATTCTAGTTACACCACTGTCTATAATGTATATATGCGTAGCTAGTATATGTGTAATGAGATGAACTACCAGTGCTCACACACTTTACCGCCAGGCCGCTGCTGAACCCTTCATTAATTAATGACATAATCACACAAAGCCACGCATTTACACACAACTCGTGAACATAACAACCAACCCAATTATTCTACACTTATATAATAATTCTATAATTATTCACATTATTTAAGTGATATGATTCATTAGTGTAATTGTACTGGCTCGTATACACACGAGGAAAACCACGAAATTTCCAATGCAGCCAGGGCAATATGAAAGACAAAAAAATGTAACAAATAACCAACAATTAAAGGTTACCAATAATAGTGTACAACAGAGATGTATACCTCTCGCCAACTGAAAACAATTGTTAAATTCAATGGAAATGAATTTTCAAAATCAACAGACATGCGGTCTTTAAATTTTGTACATCCGAACTGTCTTCTCTCTTAAGCAGCAATATGACAAAACATTTAAAAGAAGAGCATATCTTTAGAATTTCCGATAGACAGTCTTGCGCCGAACAGTGTTGCCATTGCTCGCTTAGAAATCGTCGAGTTTCTTAATCAAAAACACATAAATGCTTTACAAAATGTTAAATAGTTAATAAAACAAATTACAAATTTGAGCTTTCAGATGCCCATATTCGGGTGGTGACGTACATATTCAAAATTTCATAGCTGTAGGTACCGTTGTTTTATCACAGTATCTGCATAAATGTTATGTACGTTAAACATACGTATATTTATGCTGATTCTTTATTATTAAATATCTTTAAATATAACACACAGCGATAATATTCGGTAGAAACAGTTCAACGCAAAATGCGAAAACGAAATTAATAGCCCTTCTGGGCTAACGCGCTTTGGGATAAAAACGCAAAAATAGAACATAACAGCTTTCATTGTCAGTGCTTAAAAAAAAAAAAAAAAAAAAAAAAAAAAAAAAAAAATCGATAGGCCTTATTTAATTTAATAAAATCGAAAAGTTGAGCAAGTTGCATATTTTTGAGAGGATAAATATGCCACGAAACCTTCAAAATCATTTTTTAGTTCATCACGCACGCATATCTGCACACAAAAATAACAATACCTATTATTCTTCTGCATCTCTGTTTAAAAATGTTTTAAAAAAACATATGTACCGAAAAACATTTATTTGTAAAGTAAAATATTTTTTTTTTTCGAAAATATTTTAAATAAATTTAAAAAAGAAGATTTTTCGCGATCATATTTTGCCGCGGTTAAGCCCGTGCAGCTGTCTGTCTGTCTGTCTGTCAGGTACTGAAAAAAATCAGTACCTCGGTACTTACGTGAAAACGTGGTTTGGACTTTGCCAAAGCTAAGTTTACTTTTAATCTATTTTCATCCATTACATTTTTTAATATTATTTTTCACTTGAAATTTGTTTTAATACTTTGTTTTCATAGATACATATCATTACTATTATTTTTATTTTCCTTTTTTTTTTTTTTTTTTTTGTAACAGTACTTTCTAGTTTGAACTTTTCACTTCTCTATCTTCCTATAATGAACTAATATTGTTTAATTAAACTTATAATTACTTTTCATCTTTATTAAACTTTTTTATTTCTGATAGTTTTGACTTTTGCATAATTGCCAAGTTTCTGAAATTTCTAACAATAAATTTCATTAAACTATTTCTGTCACTGTACTGACTTTTTTGAATATGGCTTCTTTGCATGAAAAACTGAAATATTTCTGTTTAATTACTGACATGCATTTAATTAATACAGAGGCAGCTGCACTCGAGTTTGCCACCGATGCTGGACTTCTTCCCAGAGAGGATGAGGCACCACCTTGCCCCAAGTGCCAGGCACCGATGAGAAGCAACAAGAGAAAGGAATCGAAGCTGGGATGGCGTTGGGTCTGCAGCCTGAGAAATCGCAACAACTGCTCTGGCATGATTAACCCCATTGAAAACACTTTTTTCCGAAGGTACAAAAATCCCAATAAGGGAAGCTTTAGTCATAACTGTGTACTTTGTTCTAGATCACAGTTTCAGCTACATAAATCAGCAGCTAAAGCTATGGAGGGAAAAGCAAAAATTACCAGTAATTGCAAATGAGACTATTGTTGACTTTTTATCATATTGTCGTGAGGTATGTGAAATTTTTGCCTCTCATCATAGCAGAATGTTAGGTGGTAAAGGAAAATCTATATTAATTGATGAAACATTTTTGACCCGCCGCAAGTACAACCGCGGCAGGGTAACCAAAAATATGACCATCGTAGTTTTAGGCATCTACTGTCGAGAAGACAAAGAAGGATTATTTTTCAAGGTTAAAGGAAAAAGCAAAAGGCATTTGTGGCCTTACATTAAACGTCATGTTCACCCAGAAACCACCTTCATATACACTGACTCTGCTCCACAATATAAAAGGATAGAAAATTTATTTCCGGCAGCAACACATAAAACTACCAATCACAAGAAAGGTAAATATGTGTCTTTTTTTTTAATGAGTGACATTTTTTTTTCCATCCTTAACATTCATTAATCCTTTATTTACAGGCGTATTCGTAGATCCCGATGATAAACAGAACACTATAAATGATCTTGAGGGTGAAAACAAACTTTTTAAGAGGTCTATAAAGAGCAAGAGAACAGATGATATTTGCACGCAGTACATGGCTGTACATTATTACAGGCGGTTCCGCTTGAAGCCCTTTACTTATGATGGAGAAAGACTTGCTCAGTTTCTACAGGACATTAAAGCTGTGTATCCAGGCCATGGAAAAGTCGGCCTTGAACTTAAAATGTTGGACGAACCAACATCAGAAAGCGAAGGAATTGAGGACCTGATGCCTCCAAAGAAATCAGCCCGACAAGATGATGATATACCATTCATTCAGGAAGATGATGATAAATGGGGTAAAACCAACAAATATAACTTTATTTTTGACATAATTTATTTATTTACATATATATACATACAAAAATTGCATTTAAATATTAAATTACATACCATTATAATCTATGTGCTTATTTTTCAGAGTAAGGGAACACAGACCAAGTTTTAAAACTGGAATAAATGATAAGAAAAGCATACAAGTAAATTGTTTACTATAATTTGTGTAAATGTTCAGATGGTCCACAAATTTTGATTTAATACCTTTTTGTTTTTCACTACATGAAATTGTTATTTTTTATTTCCTTTTAGAATTCAACCAAAAAACAGAGCCCAGAAAACAAAAGGATGGAAATGTTGCGAAAATGTTGCATATCTTTTACAGAAAGAGGTAAATGTGTATTTCAGTTATTCTCAACTTTTATTTTGACGTGAGAGCTATTCTTTATATATTTTGTTATTCCTTCATTAAAATAAACTTTCTTTCACACAGCTGCAGATCCAAAATGTCATGAAATACTATGACAGAGGTAAGACAAAATTTTAACCATTCACAGCTTATGTTTCAAATTAGTGCTTCACTTTATTTTAATACTACTCCTTCAGTAAAAGCAACTGTAAAATTTATTTAGTTATTATTAGTATAAGTTTACCTACTTATTTTTCAGTAAAAAAAACTTTATTGCAAATTAGGTAATCCAAAAAAATAAATAAAAGAAAGAAGAAAACTAATTTTGACAGATAAATTGACAAACATAGAGGTGAGTTGATTAATTTAAAGGTTTCCAGCCTACTTCTTACCAGAAAACATTTTATTGTTAAGGATAATTTATCACCCCTTTCAGGTAAAGAATATTGCAGAAATGAGAAATGAATCATGGAAAGAAATGAATCTTCAGTCAGAAAATATACAGGTGAATTCATTACTTTTAATGTTTCCAGCCTGTTTATTTTAATTATGTATTTTCATACTACGTTTATTATTTTAATTTTACCGTTTATTTATTATTTTAAATATAAGGATTCAATCTTACATTATTAACTTCTTAAACTTGCCACCCTTTTGTGGTAATTGTGTATTTTTGTACTATGTTCAATTATTATTTTCTAGTTAAAAAGAGTATGTAGTTAACAAAAGATTAAAACTAAACAACAGAAAGAACACTTTTAGAAAAAATATTAAAACATTTAATAAAAGTGTTTATATATACGCTAACTTATGTTTTCATTATCGTAACCTTGTTTAGTTATCTTGTATTATGAATATGCATAATATGGATATTTTGTTTAGGGACTTCAAAAATAACATTTTGCTGCCACTTAGACGAGGGAAGAAGCAGATGGAGAAATCAACTCGGATGACAAACCCAGTACCTGGGGGTATAGCCAGGTTTTTCTTTCAAGAAACACATCCGAGTTGAAACGACTGATGCGGGCCACACCTGAAAGCGAAGGAACTGAGCAACTGCTGCCACCACAGGAAATCTCGACGATCATGAAATTTAAAATCTTGTTTACTTATCTTGTATTTTGAATATGCATAATATGGATATTTTGTTTAGGGACTTCAAAAATAACATTTTGCTGCCACTTAGACGAGGGAAGAAGCAGATGGAGAAATCAACTCGGATGACAAACCCAGTACCTGGGGGTATAGCCAGGTTTTTCTTTCAAGAAACACATCCGAGTTGAAACGACTGATGCGGGCCACACCTGAAAGCGAAGGAACTGAGCAACTGCTGCCACCGCAGGAAATCTCGACGATCATGAAATTTAAAATCTTGTTTACTTATCTTGTATTTTGAATATGCATAATATGGATATTTTGTTTAGGGACTTCAAAAATAACATTTTGCTGCCACTTAGACGAGGGAAGAAGCAGATGGAGAAATCAACTCGGATGACAAACCCAGTACCTGGGGGTATAGCCAGGTTTTTCTTTCAAGAAACACATCCGAGTTGAAACGACTGATGCGGGCCACACCTGAAAGCGAAGGAACTGAGCAACTGCTGCCACCGCAGGAAATCTCGACGATCATGAAATTTAAAATCTTGTTTACTTATCTTGTATTTTGAATATGCATAATATGGATATTTTGTTTAGGGACTTCAAAAATAACATTTTGCTGCCACTTAGACGAGGGAAGAAGCAGATGGAGAAATCAACTCGGATGACAAACCCAGTACCTGGGGGTATAGCCAGGTTTTTCTTTCAAGAAACACATCCGAGTTGAAACGACTGATGCGGGCCACACCTGAAAGCGAAGGAACTGAGCAACTGCTGCCACCACAGGAAATCTCGACGATCATGAAATTTAAAATCTTGTTTATTTATCTCGTATTCTGAACATATATAACATGGATATTTTCTCTACAAAAAACTCCAAATAGTGAACTGCTGAAAACTGCAAAATGTGGTGCTGAATGGTAAGTAATATAAAATATATGTGTACACATTAAAATTAGAGGATTATGGCTCCTGGCGAAACCTCGTAAAAAAAAACGCATCAGGATTCCTACCTCCTAGTCTTACACGTACTAGCTTAAAAATTGGGATTATTTGTAACTATTTTGTTTCACTAATATCATTAATCACATTTCTTACTGTTTCTATTTTTTTTTTTTATCAAATTTAGATTTAATTAAAAATCACTTTAACCTGCATGTAACGTCAAGTAATGTGAAAATAGATAGTGCCTATTTTTTAAACGAAATTATATGATAATACCCGCATAAATATTTTTTTATAAATAATTGATTTAAATATAATTATAAAAACTCTAATTTACAAAATTTGGTAATGCTTCAATTAAAATGAATAGTCAAAAAGCAGAAGAAAAGATTTTTCTTTTTTTAAGTACGTGTAAGTCTTAAGGTGATGTGGAAATGGAATCATTTCTAATTTCAAAATGCAAAATGCTTGTAAAAATTGTTCTTTTTCAGATCTGATGAACAGGCCTCGATCTATAAGAGTGGAGTTCAGTGAAACGAAGTATTGGATTTTAACAAGGAATGAATCTATAACAGTTTTTCTTGTGAAAAAATGAAATTTTATAAGTTATCAGCAGAGTCATAGTTACTGTTTTCAGCGCCCAGGGAAAACTGAAGATTTTGTGCCCCTCCCGACTACTGGCCAAAAATGGAAAACATTCAACTCTAAAAATTCGTAACATCATTTTGGCTTCCCTTGGATGATGTGCCCACGGACATATGCCCCCTTTCTAGCCCTGGTTATCATATACACAGTTTCTTGTGAACTTGTTGACTGTGAGAACCTGGATACATATTTTCTTGCAAAACTGTGAGAAACTAGATAAAAATTTTCTTGTGAAAAGATGAAACTGTGAGAACCTGGATAAAAATATTCTTGTGAAAAGGTGAAACTGTGAGAACCTGGATAAAAATTTTCTTGTGAAAAAGTGAAATTTTTATATAAATATAAATAACATAATTTAAGAAGACAAAGATTGTACAAGCAATGTCATCTAGGGGTAAGTACCTTCATTTTGCAATATATGTTTACATTGATAAATTAAAAAATATGAAATTCTAGCATATTGAAACATAAGTTAAGAAATATTTGTTTAAATTTATTAATTAAAAAAGGTGAAATTCTTACATATTGAAACAAAAGTTAAGAAATATATGTTTAAATTGATTAATTAAAAGAGTTGAAATTCTTGCATATTGAAAAATAAGTTAAGAAATGTATGTTTAAATTGATTAATTAAAAAAAAGTTGAAATTCTAACACAGGGAAAAATAGAAAATATATGTTCAAATTGATTAATTAATAAAAAAAAAATGAGTGCTATATACTGAAAAATAAGTTTCTTAAAAAGAACTTAGCATATATTATTACAAATACCTTAATAAATGTTCTAATTTTTCATTTCTCATCCATATATATCATGTTTAACTATCATACACTTACCTGCATAACATAATTAATTTAAATATAAATTCATTATTAATTTAAATGCCAAATAATATAATGCCGAAATTACATGCAAGTCAAATTTTTAGGTTGGAAGCTTTCTTTTAAATCGATTGTTTACAGTTTGAGCGTAAGTACTTCTTCGCCCTATAGCGTTTCATGCAAAACATTTCACTCGTTAAAGTACACGTTAATTAAAATTTCTTGTTCTATTACTTTAGACTGAATTACAATTAGTAAGTTATCATATCATGCTTAGTAATATAACATTAACTATGTTGTACAACATTGAAGAAATAGGGAATGTCAGGCGTCATCATGTCAACATGAACAAGGGTAAGTTCAATTTTTCCTTTTGGCAGTTCAGAATTGTTTTCCCTGTCCACTTCCCTCGGATAGGGAAAACAATATTTGGCCGCCATCTTGGATTTCGAAATGCGCTTTTTGGCGCATTTCTGAAATCCAAGATGGCGGCCAAAAACTCGCCAAATTCAGCCAAGAGCCGGGTATCCGAAATGATTTAAGCCCTCATCTGCTTATGTCATTTAAATGGTAACTTTATAATACAATGAGAAAAAATGTTCTCTTCAAAATAACGATTTTTGTTTATTTCCATTGTTTTTGTAAACATTATCAGCAATACAGTTGCGATTTGCGTTAGAAGAGGTGATTTCTTGCTGTGGAAAATATGTTAATGGAATTTTAAAACGATTAGCGTAAATTCTGTAGATTCAAGAATAAAACAAAGGTAATTTTTTTTTTTTTTTTTTTTTTTAAATTTCAATAAAATTTCAAATAAAAGTCTTAATTGTTAAGGTCTTTGAATAAAAACATTCGATTGAAAGCTGATTGATTGTACCAAATTTCAATAAATATGTTCAATAATTTACATTTACTGCTCATCGTATATGTCGCGTTTTTACTGCTCATCATAAAGTCGCCAAATCCCGTGTGTACCGGATACTAGGATTAAACCATTAACCTATATTGCAAATCCAGTTTTCAAAGCCTAGCATATATCATAAGCATATTCCTATAGCTCCCTCTGATCTTAACATACTACCGTGTGAAATTATTTTTCGTGCCTGAGTAATATGATGAATCTCCTGTCGAAAAATAAAACTACAAATCGAAATGTGGTAGTCAAAGCATAAACAAGAAAATCTGATGTGCCCGCAAATCCCGCTGATTCTGTGTTCGAACCCTCTTTCTGATTCGCCCGAGTTAAATCGGTTTAAGAAAAACAATCACACAGTGATTCATCCGAATGAGTATACTTGTTGTCCTCAAACCCTTGACATATGATTAGCCTTAGTGCTAATTATATGTCAAGGGTTTACTGTGAAGCATATTTTCCTGGTTGATCTTTACATTATGGTAACTTGGTGTTTTTTTGGTGAAAATGTGGCGACCAACTCTCCTACAGCAACCCTCTATTTTTTTTCCCCGCCGCCATTTTGTCTTCACGAAGTACAGACATGTTTCTTTTCTTTTTATCTACTGAACACTTCTTCCAACAATCTAGTAGCCGAATTACACTTATGCTAGAAATTTCTATCAAACAAAACTGCTTAATCATGACAAATATTCACGCAAATTGGGGAAAAAGTGCACAATACCATACTCCTTACGCGTTTTTCAAAATAACACATACACATAAACCATGTACACGGCGACTTATTTTACTTAAAAAAACATCCCACAATTGCACAAAATGGCATTGCGCACACTCTTCACTATATCCATGACACTGTTTTTTCTCATACATTAGAAAAATTTCACGAAAATACATGACAATTTTCTCAAATCTTTAAACCGGTAAAAAGAACATATATGAAATTCCTGATCGCGAAAAAGTATTTACCCTTTACACAATATGAACATTTCCACATAAAAAAATAAAATATCCAAAACTTTTACCTCT